CCACAACTGCCCCTGTCGCAATGGAAGCCACGCTACTGGTGCCCGTTGTGACACCATCCATTTCCAAATCGTTCTCACCGTGCGACTATGTCTCGTCGTGAGCCCCATCCGCACGGTGCTCTCAACCACGCTCTGTACCGTGCGTATGACGCACTTCTTCACACCGACGCCGTGACCCTGCACGCTTGGAGGTAAGTCTCACCATCCTGGCTTCCAATCTTCGTCCGACTGCTCATCCCCTCTCTCTCTCTTCGTCAGGAATCTTGTCTGGTCGACACCGATCGTTCGTCTGGACAGCTTCCTTCTGCAGCGAGTCTTCAGCCACCGTCAGGAACCTCTCTTTCCATGGGTCGTGAACCAACGCCAACGCCGGAAGCCGACCGCTGTGGCTCCTTCCGCTACTCTTCAGGCTGGGACTCAATCTTCGGCCCGAGTTCCCGTCGCTTCTCCAGCTCCTGCTGAGCCTTCGGAGGAGTTGACCGTGAATTCGCTGAGCGATCTTCTTGCTGAGCCTGCTGACGCAACGGTAGACTCCGTAAGAACTGCTCTCCTGCCATATTTGACGCTGATGTCACGGCACCAAGTCCAGCTCAGTATCTCGCCTCCGCTTCAGGGTGACGTTCGTACCCAAAGTCGTTTGAATGACGCGCTCGGCTTCGACCAGGTGCTAGCGGCGGTGCAACCTCTCTCCGACACGTTGCCGGATCTTCCTCACGCAGTCGGTGAGCTCACCGCTCAACTGAAGATCTCCCGGGAGGAAGCTGCTGCTGCTAAGCGTTTACTGGTTCCTGCCCAGCTCCGAGTTGAGTCTCTGGAGCCTCTTCTCAACAAATCGACGGCTGAGGTGAATGAGCTTCAAGCGGAGATCAAGCGCCTCAAGTCAGCGAACGTTTGCATTGGCTCTCTGCTCGAAAAGAGTAAGGAATCGATGGACGTTCAGGCAGAGAACCTTCGGCTCGCAATGAACTACGCCGAGCAGAAGCAAGATTGATGTATTGGACAAGCAGATTGAGAAGGAAGGCGAGGTCTTCAAGACGACGGTCAGTGCGAACACTGAGAACACTCGCAAGCTTCATGACCTGCTGCTCAA